GATGTCATGGAGACCTTGCATAAAATTCCCAAGACAGCTCACTTGTATGCCATTCAACAACCTAGGTATTTATTTATTTATTTATTAGATTTTTACCCCGCCCCTCTAGACGATGTCCATTCGGGGCGGCTTACATCGATAAAAACACATCAATATAACATGCATAAAATCACAAAAAATACAATTATAGCCATTAAATTCTAAACGAGATATTACCAGGATGGCATGACTTAAAAAGAGAGAAAAAAGGAAATTTTATATAAGAGAGAGAGAGAGAGAGGGAGGGAAGGAGGGAGGGAGGGAGGGAGAGGGAGAGGGAGAGGGAATTGGGAAGACGCACTGCTTTACCTGCTTCCACCCATTCCACTCATCCAAAGGCCAATAATCAGGATCCGTCAACTGGATCGAGGTGCCACATTAATAGCACTGTGGTGGCCCCGTCAACCACGGTTCACCACTCTCAGGACCATGCCCCCCGAATATCTCAGGTTACCACTTCAACCTTCTCTAATCACTCAGGACGAGGGTCAGATTTGCCATCCCGACCTCAGCTCTCTACACCTGACTGTGTGGAGAATTCTCCCAAAGTGGCTGAAGTCCTGAATAGAGCAAGGAAGCCATCAACTGAATTATTGTATTCTTACAAATGGAATCATTTATCAAATTTGCTAAATCACAGAAATTACCTACAATTCCAGTTTCTTTGGATGCCCTTCTTAAGTTCCTTCGGTACCTGTTTGATCAAGGTTTGGCTCTTTCGATGTTAAAAGTCTATATTTCTGCAATAGTTTCTTACCAGCCTGAAGGATCTGAAGCTTCCCATTTATTCTCTCATACCACGTTAAAGAGATTTTTAAGAGGAGTGAGAATTGTGCATCCACCTGTTCGACCTCCACTTTCCCAGTGGTCTCTTCAGGTTGTCCTTCGTGCATTTGCTCACCCTCCGTTTGAGCCTACAGCTTCTGCAAACCTCAAACTCCTTTCCATTAAAACTTTGTTCCTTGTAGTGATAACATCTGCACGCCGAGCAAGTGAACTGGCTGCTCTTCGAGCCAATGACCCATGTATTCAATTTTTCCCTGATAAGGTTCTGTTATCCAGATGTGTCGTTCCTCCCCAAAGTGATCTCTGATTTCCATGTCAATCAACCTCTGATTCTCCCAATGTTCTTTCCCAATCCATCTTTTGCTGTTGAGCACATGCTCCACTCCCTTGATGTGTACCGTGCCCTGGCATTTTATCTTTCCAGAAGCAAGGACTTCCATGTTTCTCTCAGATTTTTTGTCTGTTTTCATGGCCCACGAAAAGGTTCTCCTGCCTCCTCACAGACACTCTCAAAGTCGATTGTCTCGACCATTACAGTGGCTTATGAATTGGCAGGCAAGACTCCACCAGAGGTGCTGAAGGCACACTCCACTAGAGCAATGGCAATGTCTACAGCTTTGTTGTGTGGTGTTAAAGTTTCTGACATCTGTTGAGCAGCCACTTGGTCTACACCCTCGACATTTGTAACACACTACAGTGGGGTCTTGACTTAAGAAAAGGAAGCAAGTTTCGGAAGAGCTGTGCTGACTTCATTGTTGGTGTGATGGCCCTCCTTCTGGTAAGTGAGCTTGCTAGTCACCCATTTGTGTGGATTCACAGAGGCCACGAAGAAGCAAGAGAGTTTACTTACCTGTAACCATGGTTCTTCAAGTGCCCCTCTGTGAATCCATACATTCTGCCCAGCCTCCATGCTGTCCGTCACTTGTTGCTTGAGCTTTATGGGGGTCAGAGGTTTTGACAGTGGTGGACATTTGGAACTGAGACAATGGACGGGCGGAGCATTTGCACCACGGGGCAACGTCCTACTAACATGTTTTTAAAGCTCTAGAATATTCCAAGAAGCCCTGCGTGTCCTACTAACATGTTTTCAAAGCTCTAGAATATTCCAAGAAGTCCTGCGCAGGCGCAGTAATCCCATTTGTGTGGATTCACAGAGGACCACTCAAAGAACCATGGTTGCAGGTAATTAACCTCTCTATTTCTTCACACATAAGATCTGTGGCTATCATGGTGGCAGTGATAGCTGAAGTACTTTGAGGTGAAACAATCCTAAAGTGGTGGGAAGGATTATATAACTACAGGCTGCAGTTGTGTGTGAATAAATGTGCATCTGGATGTGCTGTTTTGCGTGTGTGCCCACAGAGAAAATGTGTACATTAGGGAAATCTATAAAAGATCTATGACAACGAAACAGCGTTCCTTCTTAAACACCCCCAACCCAACTCTATTATCAGAGACGCCTCTCAGATAAAAACCAGAGGGCATTGTAACACCACCCTGATTAACGGAGATGACCAAAAGATGGCTGCATTAGAGAGGAGGATACACTTGATGGCAGCTCTAGGCATAAGGATTGCCAAATTATCAGGGTGCCATAGGAGCATACCAGAGGTTTCTCTGGGATAAAATCTAATTAACAGTCTACCAGACAAAAAGACAGTTCCAGCACTCACTTTTCACCAAGAAACAATGTCTCTCGCTAGCGAACAAATACTCTCTGTGCAATATTCAGTTGACTGTGCTACCAAAAAACATGTCAGGGCAGGGATTCTGAGACATTTTGCCTGGTTGTGTTTGGCTGGTCTTTCCAAGGATATGAGGGCAAGAATAGAGAACCTCCCCTTTAATGGGGAAGGTCTGTTCAAAGAAAGAACAGATGACATAATGAAAAAACCTACACATAAAGAAGAATACCACCAAGAGAAGGGGTTTTTATTCACCATACCAGCAGAGACAATAAAAACAACATTGGAGGTGACTTTATCCTTTTTTATCAACAAAGTTCTCATTGAGTTGTCAGAGACCCCTGCCAGAGCCAAAAGTTGGATGGTTGTGTAGTAGCCATTTTAAATTGCATTTGCAGTGCAGAGAAGCAGTCTTCATGGGATATGATATAGTGATTTTTTTGAAATTCTTGAAAGATGCTAGGGTTTAAAGTTTGTTTCAGTAGTTTCTGTAATTCATTAAGCCCCTGTTTTAAAAAGTTAATATTTTAATACCTGGGTACTGCTTTACAAATAATTTGGTCAATATTTGACTAAGCATTTGATGCTGACTGTGTCTGCATGTCAAGCTGTGCTGCTTGGTTTATGTAAGCCAGTGGTTCTTAACCTTGGGTTACTCAGGTGTTTTTGAACTGCAATTCCCAGAAACCCTAGCCAGCACAACTGGTGGTGAAGGCTTCTGGGAGTTGCAGTCCAAAAGCACCTGAGTAACCCAAGGTTAAGTACCACTGATGTAAGCTATGGCTTGTTGCTTTAGCCACAAACTGTTCTAAAGATGACCAAACAAAGCACAGTTTGTTTTTACCTTTTTAAATCTGTTTCTATGTTCATTTGTGGTCCTATCCTTTTTGTCAGCTCCTCCTTCCAAGGTAGTGTAAATTAATGTATCTCATTTATTTATTTATTTATTTATTTATTTATTTATTCATTCATTCATTCATTCATTCATTTATATCCCCCCCCCATCTGGTATATTCTACCACTCTGGGCGGCTTCCGATACAACATATATACGTTAAAATAGCACATGAACATTACAAAACAATCAGTAACAAATGCAATGCAAAAATATAGTAAATAATAAATAGTAAGGAATTAAAGAGAGTCAAGTGTTGACAGGAGGGAAGGCCTGAGTGTACATCCATGTTTTTAATTGGCTTTTAAAATTATGGCTTTTAGCTCTGCGTCTCAGCTGGTTAAAAAACAACCGTTTTTAATGGGGATGGATTTAAAATTCATTGAAACAAAATTCAGTAAACCACAGCATATCTTAGTGTTGGATGCCTATGTTTAACTGTTTATTCAGTTAAGTGAATGCTGCACCATGATAAATATACTTATTCTTCAGTTCAGTAGGTACACTTGATTTTTGTTACTAGAATTAGGTTCACTTTCTTTTATGCTACAAATAAACAGTTTGGAAACATTCTCCTGGCAGTTATAGATGAATAAATCCTGTGCTCTTTTGAAGAGAAGCATTTTTTTTTAAAAAGTAACTAAATACAACTAGATGTAGTCATCAATGGATGTGACATGGGAGAAACCATGGATATGTCGAAATGACCGTATTGTTCCATTTAATGGCTGTAATCCACTAGTAAGTCACAACTAGTGTAGGCCTACTGAATCATTGGAAATTTGGTGAGTCAACCCTTCTGTAAGTTCCATTGATCCAATCAGCCTACTCTGATTGCAACTTACTACTGGATTTCAGCCAATGTCAGAACTTTACTGTAGGGAATCAATTCTGAATAGTTTTTGCATACCACTTGTTTGGATTGACATTTTTGATTTTTGGTTCTTAAGAGTTGCTTTAGAGAAAAGGAGGACCTTGTTGTTGCTATTAGATTTTTTGGTGTGATTGCTACGTAAGACTATTCATTAATGTTCTTCTGGAAGGTTGCTGTCTAAACCAGTCTTTCCTAACATCGTGCATTCAGATATATTGGACCATGACATGGAAATTGTCCAAGATAACTTGGAGGCCACCAAGTTGGGAAAGGTTGGTAGAAGAGATAGGAGCAATTTACAGGTGCTATTTATTTACAAACTAGTTGGCCCTTTCCTGTGATATAGGAAGTAATATTTCTTTACTGGCAATGTTGTATCTGTAGCATGCTGCAAAACCATCTGGTCTTGAAAGCAGAGGACATTTTATTCACAGCAGTAAAAAGGAAATTGCTATAGTATAAGTATGTGAATTGAAACGGTGAGCAAACATCTAATGTTCAGATCCTGTACTCATATAGCACATAAAAATAAAGACTAGGTAAGTTCATTTTGTTTCAAAATTAAAATCATGTAATTGCAAGTCTGTCTTACACAGGTTTCTTCTTTTTTTTATAAATGGTGGCAGGGTGATATGATTGTGAACAAAAATGATCAGTTGTTTCTTTCAAAACTTTCCACTTTTACTATTGAAAAGAAAACATATTTTCCACTTCATTTGCAGAATATCCTGGCTCTGAACCCTCGCAAACAAACTCATGCATCTTTGAATTCAACTGCAACGAAGAGATATGAGAGAAAGCACTGGAAAAGGAATGCAGACAAAAACTGTTCAGTAAGTACCACATTTGTTTTTGGAAAAAAATTGTTATGTCACGGAGAAGTTCTTTAAGTGTGCACCAGTAAGTCTCACTTCTAAGATTCATTCAGATATCACATCCCTGATTGTCCAAAGGGTGGTTTGTGATCCTGATCTGAACATCGCACTGAAGTGGTTTGGATGACATAGGATATCAAGGTTCCGTCTAAGGCGTGCAGCTGCACAAGCGACTCCTCCTCCCTCCACACAGAATTCCTCTTCCTCTAAACACCCACAACGATCGTTGACAGCTCCTTGGTTCCAGTCACGATGGAACCCCACATGGTGTTTGTGTGTGTGGAGATACATGCGAGAGGGACGGAGCTCCACTCAGCAGCTCTGAAAATTAGAGGTAACATGATGGGACATGGAAGTCTCAACTATATCTGGCAGGAGACTGTTTTTTTGAGTCCTGTATTAAGATAAATGCAAGAGGGCAAGAATGAGCACAATGCAGTCATTCCCAATCTGTAGTTTTCAGGACAAAGAACGAAATATAAATTCAGCCATAGTTCAGTATCTTGCTGATTTAAGCTGCCGCTTAGGTTCTTCAACCTTATTGTGAACCTGATTATTATGATATCCTCAAAAGGTGAGCTCAGATACAAAAGCAGCTTAATGGAGGTGGGCCAGATGATGGCTTGTGGACTGTACAACCTCTTTTTTTTTAAGAAACTAGAATCATTGGTATCTACCAATTGGAGCCTGGTATAAAAGTTATTCACTTAGAATTGAAGAATTCTAAATGCATGAATTTGACTATCACTACTAAATGGTTCATATAATCCTTCCATACAAACAAAGAAAGAAATACACTCCAGGTTACCTCACATGTTCTTCATTTAAGAAGTATATTTATAGATGGAAATGCCCTTTTGTTGCACCAGACATTGAACAATAAGGTATAAAATATTCTTGCCAATCTGTTAGAAACCACCTAGAGAAGTAACTACCAATAAATCCAGACCTACCTTCTGTCCATCCCTGGTTTAAATTATACTCCTTCTCTTTTTTGCTCCCACAATAAACTTCTCTGATTATGCCTCCCTTTCCCTCTCTAACCACCTTTGGGTGACGTTTATTACTTTTACTGTCTTAGGTCCCATTATTATTTTTGATTTATTCCTTTTCAGTGTTTTACCGTGAGTACTTCCAGATAAGGAGACCTGTAGAAGATTTCTTATTCTATGTGAAAAGAAGTCATACAAATGGCAAAGCTCCATCCAGCTCAAAAAATGTCCAGTTCAATTGTGCCTAATATTTTGACTTGCTCAATTTTTGTTATAAGGCACACCCTAGAATTATTTTAAATGTTCTCCAAACATTTCCAAGACTCTGTGAGAGATGGATTCAGCTACCACTATATAATATCAGGAGATGTGTGTACGTGTGTAACTCCTATTGCCACCTCTGGAATGGCAACATGCTTGATGGGAGTGGATGGGAGACCGGGACACTCAGCCATTTTCAAATGTCCGTGGGGAATGTACATTTGAAGATGTTATGTTTGAGTGTGCAACAATGTGCACAGATTCTCATGCTAAAACACCAGCATGTCACACAGAAAGCTTCAGGTTTAGCCTTTTATTAATGTAATATTTTTTAAAAAATGTAGCTATATTGTGGTTGTTGTGGGTTTTTCGGGCTCTTTGGCCGTGTTCTGAAGGTTGTTCTTCCT